TGGCACCAGCGGGCTGCTCGGTGCCTCCCCAAACCCCCGGTGAGCCCGGACTGCTGGGTGGTCCCCAGGGACAGCCACCCCAGGCTCCGTGGGGCCCCTCACCGGGCAGTGCGGTGCGGCGACAAAGGGCTGGCACGCCTCGAGGAGGAAGCCCAGCCAAAAATCAGCCAGCTCCTGCCGGGCGGAGGGGACCTGCGGGCTCCTCTGGAAGTGTTTGTAGAGCAGGAAGGTCTCCATGACGGAGACGAGGTACCTGGAGGGACATGGGGGGCGAGAGAGGAGAGAGAGATGTCCCCAGCACCCCCTAAAAGCCCCTAAACCCCCTCCTGGGGCACAGCCACTGCGAACTAGAGACCCAGTCCTACCCCGGTGGGCACATGCTGTGCCATGCCATACCAGCCCGGTGCGTTAAGCTTGTAGAGCTTCTCAGAGGCTTGGATGACTTTGTTGAGGTCATTGGCCAAGATGCCGGCTCCGAGGCAAAATCCCACATCCCAGTAGTAGCGCAGCTCCTCCAGGCTGCCCTTGCGACCCTGCAGGCAGCTCAGCTTCACCCCTGGATGTGGGAGCCGGAGCCCATCACCCCTCCGCCAGCAACCCCGCACCCGGGCACGGCCGCTCCGGGGGTGCCCCGATGCCAATGGACCCCAGCGCCTGGTCCCCATCCCCGGTGGGTCCTTGACCCCGATCTGCGGGTGGGCACCCACCGATTTGCCGCAGCTGCACAGAGGTTTCGAACCGGTGCCCAGCAGCCACGAGGAGGACGGCGGCGTTGATGCCCGCGTGGAGGCTCGGCTCCACCTCGAAGGCTTTGCTGTACCTGGGCAGAGATGCCGGGTAGAGGGCATGGGTGCTGCCACCCCCTGCCAGCCAAAACGCGGCTGCCTCGAAGTCCTGGAGCTGCCCCCTATGATAGGGGAGCACTCCCAAACCAGAAAAACCCCCAAAAAGAAGTAAAAAAATTAAAAGCCCAGCAGGAATTAGCATCACCTGCCTCTGCGTTGCTGCTGGAGGGGTTTGAACGTGGGGCTGCGCTGCCCGGAAAGCCCCCAGAGCCCCTGCAAACCCCCCGGCTGGGGGCATTGGGCAGGCAGGCTGCTCCCAGCCCTGTCCCCAACCCTGTCCCCAGCCTCACCAGTAGAAAGCCCGGTCCCTCGTCTCGGTGTCGGCGAGGCCGGAGCCGATGAACATGTCCTTGTAGATGCGGCCGCACAAGCAGAGGAGGTCGGGCGCAGCCCCCTCCTCACGCTCCACCACGGGCAGCAGCACCGACACGGCCTTCTCGCGGTCCCC